GTTTGTTTTTCTAGCAATTAGTTTAGACAAGGGGCTTCAAACTACGGCCCATGGGCCGAACCCGGACCATTGAGGCCTTTGAACCGGCCCGCAGTTGGTCCTGCCACCACCACCACTACAACGCGGGGTTCCATTTTGTGTTCCAAAATGGCACCCGGCATTGTGCACACATGCACACGACTCCTGGGGCTATTTTGGAACATAAAAAGGCACTGGGGTAGTGCACATGCGCGCGTGATGCCCAGTGCCATTTTGTGTTCCAAAATGGCGTCTGGAGTCATACGCATGCATTTGGTGTCACACACGCATGCGCACTACTCCGGGTGCCATTTTGGAACACAAAATGGTGCCTGCCATCATGTGTGCATGCATACTACTCTGGTGCCGTTTTGTGTTCCAAAATGGCACCTGGAGTCGTGCACATGCACACACGATGCTGGGTGCATGCGCATGACTCCAAGTACCATTTTGGAACAAAAAATGGTTCCCGGCATCATGCGCACATGTACACTACTCGAGCAAAAAACCTTGATGTCTCCAGCCCCACCTACGTTTCATTTCAGTCTTGCTCATTATTGACATACAGGAGCCATGCAGATGGGCAAAAAGAGGTGCTTTGAGGCTGCCTTGAAGGCATGGTGTTTAGACAATGCACACCTAAAAGCCAGCAGGAAAGCGTGATATATCAGGAAAAGCTGGTCCTAAAAGGGGCAGCTTTTTCCACTTCTTGAGCAAAGATGTGCACCTTTGCATGTGTGTATGTATGCAGCAACACCAGTGCCCTTTTTCCGTTACACCTCCATCGCTACATACAGACACACCTGTGAAGGTGCGCCATTTTCAGGAAGAAGCAGGAAAAAAGTGGGTTCTTTTTGGTGTGGCTTTTCTTGGCATATGCCGGCTAGAGGGCACTTTCCTGGTGACTTTAAGATTTGCATTGTCTAAAGACTATGCCTACAAGTCACCCTCAAAGCACCTCTTTTTGCCTGTTGGTATAGTCCCGAAGTCTCAAATCAGGTGTGGGGATTGTGAAGATAGTCCAGGTCTGATTCAGGGTTTTGGTCCTGTATCATGTAAGCAGGACACAGTGAACCTGGGGGAGTGGGATTTGAGATAAATCACCCATGAAGATAAGCTCTAAGATCTGTTCTGCAGAAGAACAAAAAGCTGAGGATTCTAAATATCCCTCCCTAAACTACAAATCCCAAGATTCCACAGGGTGGAACAATGATAGTTAATGTGGAAGCATAGTATTATAATTGTGTACAAAATAGCTCAAAGAAATATTGCAAATTCATTCTATTTGAATACTGCAAACTTTGTTTAAAACAAAAGGTTTAACAAATTCAACATTCTGTGCTAAGTCTTGCTGATGCAAAAAGAATTATAGAAAAACAATTGAATGAAGGATGAAATTCTTAGGCAAAATAAATGAGTATTAACCAGGAATATAGCTTTGGGAAGGGAGCAAAATTATAGCATTGCCACCTGATGAAAATTCTGACATCCAATGAAAATTTAGTGAGCCAGAGTAGAGTAGTGATTTGAGGATTTGCATTATGACTCTGGAGAACAGGGTTCAATTCCTGGCTCAGCACTGAAAACCCACTTTGGGCATGTCACACTATGTCAGACTCAGAGGATGGCAATGGTAAACCCCCTCTGAAGAAACCTGCCAAGAAAACCCTTTGATAGAGTCACCTTAGGGTTACCATAAGTCAGAAACAACTTGAAGGCACAAAATAAAAAAAAAAATTCCTTCAGTCCTCAAATTATTAGCATCACAATAACTAAATAAATGAGACAGCCAAAATTACCAAGGGAATGTGAACAAAAGTCTAGCTGTGAAAAGTTTCCATTGTCTTCCTCTCTGCAATGCTAAAAATTTGAGGACTGAAGAAATATTTCACTTGAAGCAGACATAATTTTTATTTGAAAGAGCAATGTCCTCATTTTGTGTCCCTCCTCTCCAAAAACACACCCAGACCTGATTCAATAAACACAAATCCATTTATTCTTGTCTGAAGGATTGAGTATAAAAGCTTCAAATCATGTTTGTTTGTATTTTACAACCACCTCTGTACCTCAGTTTAATCTGCATCCACCATTTGATCTGAATTGACTATGCACTATGCATAAATATGCAGCAGGCCATAGGATCCAATTTTTAAAGAAAAGTATTTCTATTTGTTTATTCTTTTAAGATCCTATCTTTGACCAATAAATTCAGACAAGTCAGCTAGAAAAATAGCATTCAAACCCAAAATAGTATCCAAACAGCTAATTCAAGGCTGAAGGGGAATAACTATGCAAAACAAACAAACAATGAACTTAAAATATAAAACAAGATTAAAACACAACTAAACACTCTGGGTAGGTCCCAGAGGGTGCTGCTCGGGGACAGTAGTTCCAGCAAGAGGGAGCTCACTTGTGGGGTCCTTCATGGAGCTATTTTGTCCCCAATGTTATTTAACATCTATATGAAGCTGCTGGGTGAGATTATATGGAGTTATGGTGCTGGGTGTTATCAATATGCTGATGACACCCAAATCTATTTCTCCATGTCTTGTTCATCAGCCTCGAATTCTAATGGCATCTCTTCTCTCAGTGACTGTCTTCAGGCGGTAATGGGCTGGATGAGGAAAAACAGATTGAAACTGAATCTGGACAAGATGGAGGTGCTCACGGTAACGGCCCCAAAACCAAGAATTGGGTTGCAACCTCCAGTCCTGGATGGGGTCACACTCTTCTCTAGTGACTGTGTTCACAGTCTGGGGGTGCTCCTTGACTTGTCACTCCTGATGACAAATCAGGTAAATGTGATGGTCAGGAGCGCCTGTTATCAGCTTCGGCTGATACGCCAGCTGTGCCCTTTTCTGAAAGTAAGGGATCTCGAGACTGTTGTGCATGCACTAGTAACCTCATGTCTGGACTTCTGCAATGCATTCTACATGGGCTACCATTGTGCTTGGTTCGAAAACTACAGCTGGTCCAAAATATGGCAGCTAGGCTTGTGTCAGGAACATCTAGGAGGGACCACAATACTCTGGTTTTGAGGTCCCTCCACTGGCTGCCTGTTGGTTTCCAGGCCCAGTGCAAGGTGTTAGTTATCACCTTGAAAGCCCTACATGGCTTGGGTCCAAACTATCTCAGAGACTGCCTCCTCCTATGCAATCCTCCCTGCGCTCTCAGGTCCTCTGGGAGGAATCTGCTGCAGCCTCAAAAATCGAAGCTTGTGGCAACCTCCCAGAGGGCTTTCTCTGTTGTTGCCCCCAGGCTCTGGAAGGACTTGCTGGATGAGATCTGTCAGTTAACATCTCTGGACAGTTTTAAAAAAGCTGTCAAAACTGATCTCTCCTGGCAGAACACTTCCTAAGATTTGTTTTAAAAAATTGTATTGCTATGTGTTATAGAAATAATCATTCAATGTATAGAATTAATGGCTTAGTCACATATGTCTCCACCAGGAGAAGAAGACCACTTACTTTCACTAAATTTTTTCCATTTAGAACCTGTGCTGCAGTAGGCTTCAAGCTCTTACATTACCAAGAAATTATTTTACAAGGGATAGCAACAATTTGTATGGAAATGCCAACAAGATATCGGTAATTATAGACCAATCTCATTGATAAATGTGGATTATAAAATATTTACCTCCATTATTGCGGAAAGATTAAAGAAAATACTGAAAGATCTGATCCATACTGATCAATACAGATTTCTTCCCAATAGATATATAAAAAATAACATCAGAACAGTACTTAATATTTTTGAATACTATGAAAAACACAACGAGAAGAAACTAGCAATGGTCTTTTTCAATGCAGAAAAAGCATTTGACCGAGTAAAGTGGTCATACATGATAGATCTAATTGAAAGAATGAATATGGGAAAGAAATTTGAAAAATGGATGCAAGAAGTATATAAAGATCAAAGAGCACAACTGCTGATAAATGGAGAAAAAACAAATTACATAAAAATTAAAAGAGGAACAAGGCAGGGATGTCCCATGTCACCATTGTTATTTATAATGGTTCTGGAAGTTCTACTGAACAAAATAAGAGAAGATAAAGAAATAAGAGGTACAAAATTAAACGTCTATGATTATAAGATAAAGGCTTATGCAGACGATTGGGTCTGCTTCTTAGAAGAACCAACACAAAACATCAGAAAATTGATTCAAATATTCCAGGAATATGGTAAATTTTTGGGATTTAAAATTAATGAGAAAAAAACATCAATTATTACTAAGAATATGTCATTTAAAAAAGAGGAAGAGCTAAAAAACTTATCTAACTTTAACATAAAAAGGGAAATATCTTGGTATAAATCTAACTAAAAGAAATATAGATCTATTTCAAAACAACTACAAAAAATTTGGAAAGAAATAAAACAAGATATGATGAAGTGGACAAAATATAATATAATGCTATTTGGCAGAATATCTGTTATAAAGATGAACATCTTACCAAAATTACTATTCTTATTCCAAAATCTACCAATAATTTCAGATGAAAAATGTTTCAACAGATGGCATAAGGAAATGACTAAATTCATATGGATGGGTAAAAAAGCTAGGATTAAGTGGAAAATCTTAACCGATGATAAAGAAAGGGGTGGCTGTGCACTGCCCAATTTCAAATTATACTAACAGGCTTGTGTACTGGATTGGATTAGTGAGTGGGTTCAA